TACAGGGTGCGGCAGAGAGGATGGACGGTTTTAAAAAAATCATAAAATAGTTAATTTTTACTCGAAAATAAATTTATTGATGGAATCAGGTTCACAAGGAAATAGCATTTGAGACAGTCAAGTGTGGAAAATCACATCAGGCATGCGGTGGCCGAAATCGTTGATGCAGTGCTGGAGGCGTTCTTTGAAGTTCACGTAGATTCTCTCCAACATCGCTCTCTCAACTTGAGCGACTTCCACGCGAATTTCGCCGTTCAATTCGTCCAGAGTTCGGGGCCTGTTCGCGTATACTTTAGCATTGAGGTGACCCCATAAGAAAAAATCGCATATGGATAAATCTGGGGACCGAGGAGGCCAATGAACATCGCCAAACCTGGAAATAAGGCGACCAGGGAAGAGAGGGCGAATAACGTCCGTGGATGCTCGAGCTGTGTGGGCGGTCGCCCCATCCTGCTGGATCACTAAGGCGAAGTGCAGCAGCATGTTTCCGGGCAGATCGAGTCGGACTGCGAAGAAAGGCCTGTCGAACGCGTTCAACATTTTCAGGAGTTCGAACTGTTCGCGACGCTCCTCTTGGTCTTCTGTTGATCAGTTCACCACGCCTGCGAAGTGATTCAACCCAACGAAGGAAGGTGTTTCGAGAGGGAACAGCTCTATTCCGATGAATGTTGAAGTGACGACGAAACTCACGCTGTACGACGATGACTGACTCATTATTCCAGACGAATCAATCATAGGCGAAAACGCGGTGCTCCACCGTACAAGGCTCCATAACGACAACTGGTAAAATAATGCTAGGATCTCACGAGTCAAACGGCACCCTCCCCATCTCTCTCGTAGACGGAGGCGGAGAGTACTACCCATCCCAAAAAACGTCCGTCCTCTCTGCCGCACCCTGTATATCCTCATCATGAGTAATTGATGTAAAATATTCAAATCATCACATTAGGAATCATTGACTGGACTTAGTCTCATATGTGGGTTTACAAATTCATATTGAAACCGTTGAATGCGGCTCGGCAAACAACAGTCCTATTTCGTCTAAAACGCCTATGACAAGGAGATTCGAGCTTTGTACCTGGAGGTAACTAATCGCTTTTAGCAGCTCTTCATGTGGCTCAATAGAGTTGTCTCCGACTAGTCCAAAGACTCACCCCTCGAATTTGTGCCCCAAGATTGGCAAACATCCTGCATAAACAGTAGCGATTATAGAAATATACAGGGTGTTCCTTAATGATATGCGAATATTTAAGGGTGTGAATCTATATGAAAAATTAATGCCAGTTTGCTCTATAAACTATGGTCCAAAAATGTTTCCTTACAAAAACTCGGGGTGTTGAAGTTTTAGGAAAAAAATGGAAATTAATTAATATTTTCAGAACCGCTTCAGATATATCACTGATATTTAGTACGTAGTGAAAGTTAATGAAGTTGCATATTTTTCAATGCAAAAATCATGTTTAGCTTTAACAGTGGCGTGCGTACGGGGATTGATTTCGATATCTTTAAAAAAAAAATATTACGCCAATGGTTTTTTATCAAATAAAAATTATTTTTGAATTCCACGTTCAATTTGAAACAAATGATCTCTCTTTAATTGTTTTCCTTCGATGCGCCATTTTTGATTAAAAAAAATAAGAACCGTTCTATTGTCTGAGAAAATTAATGTAATTCAAGAATGCAATTTAGCAATAAATATCTACTTGCTCTGGAATATGTCACTGGCTTTTGACATCTGACAAGTCTCTGTTATTCAAATCCCTTCGCTGTGACATCTTTTTCATTATTTAGTTTTTACAATGTTGTTAATAATCGTGAATTATTCAAATGCAGAAATGGCGGGAATGCATTACGTATATGGCCTTGCCGACGGTAATGGTGAGCAGATCGTAGAAGCATTGTATTATACGATATTCCTGAGCGCCCTAAGTAGCGAAAGCCTCCCGGGGTTGTGCCACAACGAAACCTTTTTCTCTCCAACGCATTCACAAAGATCTGCTCTGCACTTGTCAGGCATCTCTGATCGGGTTGACCGAGAGCCTTTGTAATATCAAAGCAACTCCGTGAGCCTCTCCAAAATACTGGATGAGCTTATGTAACAAATGATTCACTTGAGCGAGGTCTGCAGTGCATCTTATGGATACCATCACCTGAGAAAGCCATACTGCATGCAGATAATTAAGGACATATAGGCAGATCGCGGGCAGCAGACCAATACCTATAGTCGTGCGGACCAGATCTATCGGTCTCCTTTTGAGGATAGGCAGACTTTTAGACTTCTGGGAATATATCGAAGTCTTAAAGAGGATCTTTTTCGCGTATAAAAAATTCTACATATGACAACAGAGGGTCTTAGATTGGCTATTTGTCTGTAAATCTCAACATGTCAAAAATAAAAACGGTGTTGTGTCTAAAACGTAACGTTTTGTTGCGTCATATTTAGCATACTTGAAAGTTAGTGCCTGATATCTACTCATGCAACACATATTTCCTGAAGACCGAATGAGCTTCTCAAGTTGCTCTTGCCTCTCAACTTTATATATTCGGTCATATCAGAAATCGGTTTCTCATACAACCAGAAATATACATTTTCCATTCTCTTCAGCTTTGTAATATTCATAAATACGCGAGACGCAGTTACCCCCCAACTCGTCTGAATTCAATGCATTTACATCTCTAACAAATACCCTAAAATTCTACTTGGAAAAGTCGTTTGAAAGTTGAATTGCTCCTTGGAATCGGTGTCTTTTCAAGTTTTAATTATGCCGTTCTATTTATAAATTGCGCCTTTTAACTGCAGCATCCGTCCACTGTACATGGATGATCTCGGAATTATAGCGAAGTTTTAGGCAATAAATCAGTAAACGGTTAATTTGAGACTTCTGTTATAAGTTTTTGAGGAAACTACTTTTGAGTCGCCTCAATAAAGCAACTTCAACAGTTGAAGTCGGTAGCTAAATCATTTCACACTTGGACAACTTTTACCAAAAAGAACAAATCCACATATCTGATATCTGATTAATGAAAAACATGTGAATAAGATGTTGAAGGTAAGGTCACTACCATATTTCTGTTTCATCTAATCGTAATTAATATTCAATAGCACGAGCTGTAATGTACTCGTAGTGGAGCGTACTTTTGAGTACATATCGGTGTCAGTGACGCCGCTACTGCTTATGACTTCCTTGGGGTTAAGGTCAACTATAGCAACTGTGTATTTTTATGTGACTAGCTAGTTCCTTCGTGCAATGTGTCTAGACTCTAACCGCCGCTGCCCGATGGCACTAAGGGATTCCAAATCGACTAAATTTGTTTCCTTAGTTTACCATCTGCTTCTAAACTATATTGGCCCATTCTTCTTGCCGGGACGACTTGACGGACAGACTTACCTCAATTTTCTTCAACAACAGTTGCCTTTGCTGCTTGATAATTTTCCGTTAGTAATAAGAAACAATATGTGGTACATGCATGACGGTGCACCAGCGCGTTGGATTGACCGCGGTGGGTCCCGAGAATGGCCACCAAGGTCCCCAGACCTCAGCAGTTGAGATTTCTTTTTGTGGGGCTATCTTAAGACACTAGTCTACACAAGTTCCATTAACACCGTAGACGAATTAAGAGAAAGAATAGTTGCAGCTTGTGATAGCATAAAAAACACTCCAGGGATATTTCAACGAGTGCGCAGTTCCATGAGAAGGAGGCCGGTACCATGCATACTAAGTGGAGGGGGTCCATTTTCAACAATTTTTGTAATCATTCCGTTGGTTTTAGTGTTATGTTTAATGTCGTCAGTTGTTGTTGTTCATTACCCCAAATGTTTTTTTTCCAATTAAATTAATGATAATTTTGCAAGTTAGACAATAGAACGGTTTTTATTTGTTTGCTTAAAAATGGCGCATCAAAGGAAAACAATCCATGAGAGATCATTTGTTTTAAATTGAACGTACGCACGCCACAGTTAAAGCTAAAAATTATTTTTGCATTTAAAAATATGCAACTTCATTCACTTCTGCTACGTACTAAATATCAGTGAAATATCTGAAGCGATTCTGAAAATATCACTTAATTTCCATGTTTTCCCTAAAACTTCAACACCCCGAGTTTTTGTAAGGAAACATTTTTGCACCATAGCTTATAGAGCAAACTTACACTGATTTTTCATATAGATTCCCACCCTTAACTATTCGCATATCATTAAGGAGCACCCTGTATAAAGAAACAGGATGAAAGAAGCAATAAAACGTTTTGGCATAATACAAGTTTATTTTTACAAAATACAAAAACTCGGCTGAAGTAACCGAAAATAATAAAAGAACGAAAGACGCATCTAGGTATACCTGAAATGTCATCTTTCTTCTAACTGTTTGGCCCGTAATCCATGAAAAACGAAAGTCAAAGTTAAAATTTTGGGGTAAAGTCTGCCATTTTTAGTGTCTGCTAAGGCAGATCTACCGGAGCCTCAGACGCCAAACATCATAAAGCCATTTTAACTGTAGCCCATCAAATTGAATTATTATCCTACATACACACGCGCAAGGACATAACCCTCTTTCTAAGACTATGTCGAGAATTGCTGCTTTTTAATAAAATTCGAGGACGAGATCAAAAATAGCTCTGTTTATCGCTTAACCAAAAATAAGTTTCTTTTACTTCGTTTTTATTATTCAAATTATTAATTAATGTATGTGTAAAGTTAATGTTTCAAAAACACTTTTTAGAGCCCTGAAGAAGGAAATATTTTTTTCCGAAACGTCGGCAACTTTATAACAGGAAACGGTGTTTCTTCAAAACCCAAATCCAATTAATTACAAGAAATTCCTATATTTAATTTTTGAAATAGTAGAGAATCTTGCTGCCCTCGTAGAGTAAAATTTCGCTACTCGAGTTGTTTGTGGCTTTGTGTGCTGTCATGTTACTCCCACGTTAATGATGGTTAGAGATAGCTATTATTTGTATTATCGTGAAAAATGTTTCAACTACTGTCACATTACTTCTTTCAGGTTCCACCTTTTGTACCGTGGGTACACCACCGCCACGAGGAGCAAAATCAGGAAGTAAATCCGCAAGGAAGTAACGAAGGGTATGCTGCTGCCCCGTATGAAGCTGCCGGATCTATTCCTGAGGGAGAGAGGCTGGATCTACCACAAACGACCGTCAGTTCGGTTAGTCAGTATCTGCCGCCAAATAAATGAAAAGACTAAAAATTACACAGCCCCACAAAAAATAAAGAAAGATATAGGTCGAGGTCTGTGAAACAGCCCCTGATATGCCTACCATATACCAGAAAAGTTCATAGGTGTCAATAATTTACCCCAGAAATACATAGCGATGTCATCATTTAGCATCTGACATCCGAAACATGTTCACCCCTGCTAGGCCTACTTTTGGGGTCCGCGTGATCTCTAGAAGCGTAGGGACCTTTCCAACCACAGCTTTGGATAATAGATAGGAATACCTTGCTCCAGCGCACGTCTAGAATCGTAAACGTATTTTCCACGACTGCTTGAACGCGGGGGTGAATTCAATAGATCTAGAAAATTTCCTGATCCCAGATTTGAATTACGCGTCAAAATATACATAGAAATGTCATGGTCTGTCTCACAGATCTCGACCTTTATTTTCTTTTGTGGGACTTTACAATGTATCATTGTTTTTGTTATTTCATGATTAATAAATGTTTATTTTCATATATTGGGCTTCTGTTTAATCCTAGAAAGTATAGTTAGAGTGGATGCAAACAAAAGTTGACTACACTATAGCTGTGGTTACAAGGACATTTTGTTGCAAATAGTTCGTAGCTCATTGGGTACGGTAACGGCAGCTTGACAGGTCGCAGACGTTGCTTCCATCATTTTTACATATTTGAAACTGAAGCTCAAAACTTTATCATGATTTAATTTGTGTATTGCTAAGTTAGTAGAAAAATTAATTTTCCAGGCAGTTATTATGGTACTATGAACCTGCCAGTGCCAGTCGAGCGCTGTGTAACATACCGGATACTTCTCAAACATGTGATAAGAATTCATAGAGTTTTTATCTGCAGTGCATCAGACCAAATCGGTTCTCTTTGAAAAACTTTTGAGCAGTATCGTATAGTCTAGTGAAATTTTGCAAAGTAACTAGTTCAAGAATCACATTATGGTGTCCATAGAAAATAGTTCATAACTGGTCCTAATGCAACATTGCAGATCTTTTACACCCTCTCCAATAATGTATCAAAAGTAGCATATTTAGAAATGTTACAGTTTATTTGAATAAATACTAGTTCTTGTCTGATTTTATCGATTCTTGCCTCTGGACTATACCGGCACAGCAAGAGCTGAAAACATGGTACAAAGAAATTAGCAAACTACTAATCGAAGTGTGACGGACGGAAATTCACACTGTGAATCCATACCCAAAAATATTTTAAAAAAATGATTTGATTGTAGATGTTGTTGGAAATGGATATGGATAACCTGATTGATACCGTTGAGATACAGTATGAAATGGATATTATTTTTCTAGTCTCAAGTTTCTTGGTTAATTTAAATTAATTCCTTTTACGTATGGACCAGCGTTACCACAACAGCAGAAATGCTCAATAATATGATTGTAGCCTACGGACTGGAATTTTTACTGCATCAGACTTTAGCAGTGTCAGTCGAATGGGTCATTTAACGATTTTTCCATATTTTGTTTTTTCAAGACTCATGGTGTAATTTTAGATGGTAGGGATTGATTTAGCTATATTCTTGGAGATTCCGAAGACGACTTTTACGATTTTAAGATATAGCTGATATGCTATGAAGTGACTGTATTTCATCACTGCTCATTTTACACAGAATTGGTCGTCTGTCATTAGAAGATATGTGTACTTACCGTTGCTTTTGGATAAAACTAGGCATTCAATGGAGCTATGTGTACAACGGGTGTTTCAAATCCGACTGATGCAAGGTTGCGCATTTAGGTGACTAACAAAATGCCGCTTAGAAAGTTTTGAAATACAACATACCTTCGGACAGAGACGGAAAAACTGAATTTTCCCAAAAACGTTATAATTTTTCCTGGCTTCATTTGTAGTCGGATTGCGAAATAAATTGCACTTTAACATTGCCACTTTTCCTCCTTTACACAATGGCATAATTGGAATTTCAATATGACTCTTCGTGTCTTGTCCTCCAGCATCAACTTTATTTTTCTAAAAGGTGTTATGCTGGATTCTTACTCAGTTGAATAAAACTCATAATTCTGATTTCCAAAAATGTATAATATGTCATACATTGGCATTGAAAAACCATATTATAAGGTAGGCCTTGAAATTATCAGATTGTCTTTTGTTCCATATACCAGACAAGACCTCGAATTCAACATAGCTACAGAGTTTGGATGACTGAGAACAAGGAGCATAAAACCGAGCAGTGAACAATGCACAGAGAAGAGACCTTGCCTACAAAATAACGTACAAGGTTTTGTATACCCTTGCTCATTTATGATTACTGTTGTCATTCCCATTTTGTGTTCAGGTTTCCCCATACCTTTTTATTTCCTTGAAAGTTTTTGTTCAACAACAAGTTCGTGACCAAGTACTGAATTTAGGACTGGCAATACCATTTATTAATAATAATAATAATATTTATCACCCTCATTAAACAATATATACAAAGTTTACAAACAAAAAAAAGCCTTAGAGGATAAAAGGCTACATCAGCTTGCCCCTTAAAGAAGCAGCTGCTAGAGCAAAAAAAACAAACAAATTTAAACAATTCTATAGTAAGACAGAGAGAAAAATCTTTAGTTTTGAATTTATTTACTAAAAAGGCAAATTCATATGAGAATGATTTCTTAAATGATTCTTTATTGTGTGATGGTATTGTAATCAAATTCAACCTTCTAATGTTCAGATTATGTAGGTACATCAGTCCGGTAGCTAATTTTTAAGTGAAGATAAGAAGGACTTTTATATTTTATATCTTGTAAAAAAAAGGAAGTAGAGTGCCTCTAAGCCATATTCAACCCCTGTTCAGGTAGTTTGTGGGATACTCTTTGTCTACCCCTTGTGCCAAATATCAGTCTCAGACAAGAATTCTGAGCTTTTTGAACCTGTTTTAGTTCCACACTATCAAGAATTGTTCCATATACCACATCAGCAAAGTTGAAATGGGACAACACAAAAGCTTCGCAGAGCGTGGCTTTAGTATTTTGTGATAGGTAATGTCTACGGGGGTAAATTATTTTTAACATTGAATATGCTTTTCTTAGGCATAGAGTAATGTGCTCTCCAAACTTAAGTTTAGAGTCAACCACTAAGCCCAAATCCTTCACGGAATCCCTAAATGATATTATATTGTCCCCTAGTTTGAGCTTAATGTTATTTTCGAATACGTTTCTGCAGGAATCACTACAAAACAATATAGCCGTCGATTTACTAGGGTTTATCTTTAACAAGTGATCTTCAGAGGTTTCAAGAAGGCTATTCAGGTCGGTATTCAGTCAGTTTGTTATAAGTTCTGACAGATCAGGTTTGAAGGAGGCATACATTTGAGTGTCGTCAGCATAAAGATGATATCGACGATAACTCAGCGACTTCATGAAATTAAAAGTATATAGGCTATACAATAATTGACCCAAAATACTGCCCTGGAGCACCCTTGATGTAATTGTAATTGCATCTGAAATGTTCCCGTCCAAAGCCACGCGCTGCATCCTTTTAGATAAAAAAGAATTTATTAATGCATAGGCCGACTGCTCTAATCCAATATATTTCAAAACAGCCACTAGTATCTCATGACAAATCATGTCAAATGCTTTCGTGTAGTCCAGTAACACCAAGACAGTAGCATTTCCCGCATCCTGTTCTCTGATGACATCATCCACAAGATCTGTTAATGCTGTGGAACAACTGTACCCGGTTCCAAACCCTGACTGTCTAGGGGGGATGATATTGTTGGCAAAAACGTAGTTAGCAACTTGTATAGCGATTGCCTTTTCCAAAAGTTCCGAAAGGGTCGGTAAAAGCGAGATTGAACGTAGTTGACCAAATTCTGTCGGATTGTTAACCTTAGCTAATGGAAGAACATTGGCCAGCTTCCAGCTTTTAGGAAAATAAGACCTTTTAATACAAGTATTTATAATATGGGTAATATAAGGAGCTATAAAAGGGCAACACAAGGAAATCAGGATAACGTTCAGGCTATCAGCGCCAAAAGCCTTCGTCTTGATACTGAGTATACTATACTAAGTGGCATATAAATCCTAACACCCAGTTTAAATGGTTTTATTTCAATAAAATTTTGTATAAGTACTTAATGAAGCATAATAAGTAAATGATAAAAATTTCAAAATGATTGCACTGCCTTAAAGCCCTTTGACCTTTAATAATGTGTGGATGCACCCTGATGTGCTACGCATTCTCCAACGCGCCTAGGCATGCTTCTGATCAGGTGGTCAATGTCCTCCTGTGGTATCTCATTCCAGGCAACCACCAACTCCTCTCGAAGTGCTTCTAGAGTCTGAGGAGGACGTTGCAAATTGAGCAATCTCCTACCCATCATATCCCATACGTGCTCAATTGGGGATAAGTCGGAAGATATTGGTTTCCATGGTAACCATGTGACATCATTATGTTGAAAGAAGTCTATTGTGACTCTTGCAACATGTGGTCGGGCATTATCTTGGCACGACCATCGTGCATGCCTAAACAAAATCGAGACTCGTCACTAAAGACAATACTGTTCCATTTCTGATCCCAGAGTGACCGTTGTCTGCACCACTCAAGGCGATTACGTCGGTGTCCTCGAGTTAAAGGGAGGGCCCAGTGTGGTCGGTATGAAAACAAGCCAAAACTTCTCATTCATCGGTAAACACTTCGCATGCCAATAGGTCTTCCGTGTTCTGCAAACCATTCATTTGCAATGGACCTGGTAGTGGAGAAACGGTCCCTTAAGGCCAATAATCTTAGGCGGCGATCTTCACGGTCTGTTGTTCTACGGCGGCGTCCAGTGCCCCTTACTCTTTGCGTACGGCCTTCTCGAAGCCATGCCTGACGACACCTAACCACAGTGTCTACACTTCTTTGCACTCTAACTGCAATTGCCCGAGAAGAAGGACCAGCTTCCCGAAGTCCCACTATACGGCCCCTATCCAACTCACTACTAAGTTGACGAAATCGTACAGGTCTCCGTACTCTAGGCATCGTAACTGATCATAAATGATGCCAAGAACCAAAATCCGCCAACGTTGATTCTTTTGCTGCGGCTGAAATATTCACTTTTAGAGCGTTAGTGAATTAAAAAAAAGCAGTATTAAAACCGGAATGTCCAACTGATAAGGCTGAACATTTTTTCACTTGTTACTTACAGTTTGATAAATACATTCACCAACTTTTATTAAAATAAAACCATTTAAACTGGGTGGTCGGATTTATATGTCACTTAGTATATTTAAAACAAAATCTTCGTCGATTAGGTTAAATGAGCAGCTTTCATTAAGCAAGAGTTGTTGTTATAGAAATGCAACAATTCTTGTTTTTGAGTATTATTTTGTGATATTTGGGCAAAGTAGGTAATAAGTTCATTAACATTCCTTAAATGGTCAGGGCTGTATTTATTTTTATTTTTAAGTAAATTTAGTTTTTTTAGTTCAGCCCATTTTTCCTTTTCTGAGCAATTCTGAAACTTTAAATTTAGATATGCCTTTTTTTCGGCTCTAATAGCAGGAGTGGTCATGTTCCTTAATTGTTTATAATAGTCTCGATGGCCAGGTTGGTGCGTTCGTCTAAAACGAGAAAGAGCTTGATTTCGAAGCCTTTTCATAAACTAAATGTTATCTGTGATCCATGGACTGTATGGTCTTTTTCGCCCATTGCAGTCTTTTAGGGGTGCATGAGAATCAAAAATATTCAATATAGTGTCTGCTAAAAATGATACCTTATGATCGATGTCATCTATTTGATATATGTTATATGTTTAAATGTACAAAATTGCAATACAGCGCCCATAAAAGAAAATAAAGCTAATGTGTGTAATATTGAAATTATAATAGCGTCATCATGTGAAGGAGAAAAAGTGGCAGTGTTACTGTGTAATTTGTTCTGTAATCCCACTACAAAAATCCGTTTTTTTCCGTCTCTCCGGAAATACCTTGGATTTCGAAACTTTCTAAACGGCATTTTGATACCTACCTAAATAAGCAACTATGTCCATATTTAAGCAACTCTGTATCTCTTACTGTTTCCGAGATCCCAGAGGTCAGGTTTCAATTTAAAACACCTGGTATGATCAATATTCGATGCCTGTCAAAAAAACCGTTTTCGTCCTTAAGACTCGACTCGAAATCAGAACATAACGGCTCATATCCGTTTAGTTTATCTTCTGGGGGTGATACAGACGAGAGCTTCAAGTATGAGAAGAACCGAGGTAATCCAAGGAGATCCGAATTGATCAAAGAAGATACTGTGTCATTTTTATAGGCCACGTTTGCTTACTCCACTAATCGTTTAGTAGAACTTACGGTTTTATCCGGTAGCGATACAAAGAGATGCCAAGATATCAAAGAAAATTTAAGCCAAAGATTATTTATCAAGCATATCTAAATAAACTTGAACGAAAGGTATTTTCTGTTGAGATAGACCCTCAGTTCACCTTTCCTGGTATCGCAGTTATATCTAAAATAATGCCACTTCCCTATTTCCCTTACATAACTCCAGCTCGCATCGAGCACTTCTCATCATGTTCAATCTCATGTTTCAGTTTATTCACCTTATTTTTTTTTAATTCCCGCGCCGGTTTCTTGGCACACAATGGACTCAGATCAGGTACCGCCTCTGCGGTGCCACTTCAGCTAATTAGAAATTTGTGCATAATCATTTACATAAATGTTAAATAACTGGGCCATTTTGGCAAAAGGTTGGATGATTTAAAGCCGACCGCCCGCGAATTTTAAATAGTGTTAGACCGCAATTTTTTGAATTAATCTCAGTTGGGGGATCCGAAAGTCTATATAAATAATCACATACAGACCAGTCGTACAAAGTCGTGTCTCAGAACTCATCTTCAATGAAAGCTGCGGTGAGTAACTAGAATACTTTCGATCATGGTGCGGTGTTGCCGGTTTGGGTTCGGTTTTCGGGAATCTTGTGAACTTGTAGACTGATTGAAGTAGTCTGTGGCGTTTCACCTCTGAAGTGTATCGATGTAAATTGAATCATAAACAATACAAACGTGCTCGCTGGGAATGCATTTTTTTGAAAGTTCCGGTAACATTTCATTCTGGAGCAAAATCAAAAACAAACAACTTTTTATTTAAATAATGGCGAATTTAAAGGATAAGCGCTCCTTTCACCATAATAATAACTCAAATTTCAAGTTGGTCGCATGGACGTGAACTTTTTGCATTTAACCATCTTTGACCACAAGTATTCTTAACCGTCATCAGCATGTTTATTTTTATTCTAGTACTTTATTGCCCTTTAAACGCTCAAGGTTCGCAATTTTCGGATGTCTAGATTATTATTTTTATATGAGCTCGTGGTCGCAACAATTTTACACCAAATCTGTACTAATAAAACACATTTAGGCACCAGACATACTTAAGTGAAAATTCTGCTCAACTGTTCAGAGTGGAACAACACTGTTATTTTTCATGTTCTGTGTCTCAGTGTGTTTTGTTATAGATTTAATGTAGAATCTGTTGCGATCATGCGCTCATATAAAAATAATATGTTAATCATTCTAAAATGGGCGAATTGTGGACAAGCATACCACAATTGCGAAATTTAGGCTTTTAAAGGACTATCAAGTACTAAACGAAATGAAGAATGAATGGAACCTCAACAAAGATATTTAGAGGTAAAAATCCCATTTCACTTCCCTCCATATAGACGCTGGTTCTTTTTAAACATGGTGCAAGTGTAATATTTTTTTCTGAAACTTTTCTTTGATGTAAATTGTCTGAAATATCTCAAGTGGGAAGTGTTATTAGAAATCAGTAACGCACATTGTTTTTTGCTTGATTTTTTCGTTCTGACAGTGAACTTCTGTAAATGACTTTTGAAGAAAATAGGAAAGTTGAAATTATAGCGAATACACCAGTTTCTTACAAAATACCCTTTTTATGCAATTTCCTTAAACATCGTCAATGGGAAATTACTTTACATAATAGCATTAAGCTGTGATTCTGAAGAATAGTAATGTAGTTCATTTTTCTGATTGAACTTATTACTGTATTGTTGAATATACCCGACCTCTTAGGTAAACGTATTTATGATATCTTTGAGGTTAATAACTGAGATGCAGGAGGAAAGAACCTACTGACAACATCGGTGGTTTTATAGAATAGCGAGTACAATATCCAGATAAATTAGCGAGGCAATCACGGGATACGTTTCAGTCATGCCACTAAGATTAGACAATTCATACCTCTTATGTAACTCCATAAGTGAACATAGAATCTCTTTCTCAGTTGATTCCATCAGGTAACATCAGAATGGTACCAGCTCGAAAGCTTCTGTGTTCGCACGCTGCATATTGCATTGCCGAGAGGCGTAATTTAACAAACTTATCATTAACGGATGATCATAGAGATATACCAGAGAAATTGTTTTGATATTTACCCATGATTCTACACAATATGGTACAAGGCCTTTTTAGACTACCTACATAGTAGCGTGCTGGTAGCTGGCAGCACTGTTATAGTAGATTTCTGGTGAATGCTGCATGGAATTTCTGATTGATTATATTTTGCGAATCTCTGACCTATTGGGAAATTATGTGTATGTTGCTAGTCTAAAGACTAGCTGTTATAGGTATTGACTGAAATAATCATTTATGAGAAAATTTGCATGCACTTAGTGATCTGGTGTGGATGCCGACCCGCACCATGAAATATAGTATCGTCTTTTACTGTTTCTTTTTCAGAGTACATGCTCAGATATATTGATATACCATGCATCATACTTTCGAAGTTCGATATTATAGTGATTTATCAGCGAGCAATAATATTAAATGAGACAACGTAACACATGTTGATATTGTGCATTCAAAGACAAGTGATATCGTGATCACGCAATGACATTGATGCAGCTTTATGTCATCATAATAGCTATTTGAATATACACTATGAATTCGCGTTAATATAACTCCATTTTGATGGCGTTTATAGAATACATTTTGCGATAACTTGCGTTGATTTATGCAATCTGATAGTGCGGTTCGCCACTGCATGTACACGCCAAACTAACGTAGCCTATCGTCTTCATTGACGATATCAATCGGCACATACAGGATGATCCAAAAAACAACGGCAGCACTCCTCGAACAGGAGGCGCATGGAAAGATCGTACGAGTATAAATATAGGCACGAAGTACTACCAAAGATCGAGTGCGTTGAGCTTGGTCGTATTTCAATCACTGCACACATTCCAATAATAATTTAATAGTCATTTATCTAACAATATATATATATATACACTTTCCGCAAGAGTTAGGTACAAGATTTCTCCTAACAGAGCATCGCGATAAAATAATAAACCCAGAATTTTAAATACGTACTATGTTTCATTAGAAATTTAATAATTGTAAAATCAACATCATCAGCAATAACAACATCAATAATTCATTTATATCTAATAATCATTAACAATATTAAAAGCAAAGGAACAGTCGTTTGGATTATGAAAACTTCTAGGTGTTCTCGAAGTAGAACTAGTGCCATCGGCTTCATTTTCTTCTAAAATTTCATGTTCTCTAGAAGAGTTATGTATGCAAAAAAGTGTCACTTTCTACACGCAGATGCGTACTGAAAGTGAGTACTTTCCGCACGTTGTTAGAAAAAAATATATCACGATATGCAAACATGTCTTTTGTGTCATTCAGATACATTTTCTCAACAGACTATTAGGAACAAGTTAGTATCATTTGATTTTAGTTATCTTTAACGTAACATGTTATTATTGTGAGAACGAACTTTTTTGTAAATCATATAATTTCTTGTAAGATCCTTCAGATTTGACGACATCAGGAAAAATGTCTCCTCCCGCTTTTCACATAGTTCTTGGAGCTGAGGCTTGACACGATATCCTGCGTCAGAGCCGTCAACGGCTTTTCCAAAAATGTCTCATCTCTGTGCCACTGCTGAGTGAATTCTCTTTTCGCATACTGTATACAGTTTTGTATTGGAATCTTACCTCAGACGTTTAAACCATTTTTTTACGAAACAAATGCTTTGCGAAAAATTCCTCATGAGACGCTATTTATCTTAAATCAGATATCTCCTTCATACTGAAGGTGGCCGCAGTAGTAGATTCTTCGGTCTCCTGATCAGTCGCCGTGCGCTGTGCGGGTTCAAATCCCGTCCCAGGAGAAATGTTTCTCTTGGCTATGGATGTTGTGATTCTCCATAGGTGGTAAACGGTCTCTGACTGTCGAACGGGGAGGTACCACCCGGCGGATCTCATAGGCGGGGCCAGAATGTGTGCATGTTGCATGCACGCGTGTTCCCTTGCCAGAGTCCGTGTGGCGTTCCCCCTTTTCCCTGTATCCCCCTATAGCCCACGGTACCTCATGGGTGTTTAGGCCCTAGGCCTTCGTGGTACTTGGAGTTTAAAAAAAATATTCAAGTGAGGCTTATAAACAGTATAAATATTGCAACTGCTTCTGAATACACATGTATAAATGTGCAATTATAGTTACGTTGAGTATACCGAATGAACATGCTTTTTGAAAGATTCACAATTTGAATATGTGATACAAACTCTTCGAAAAGTGATCAGTAGTAGTTCTGAGTATTGATATGGTTATAGTAGTTCAGTTAGTTATGCGTTTAGCGTTATGATTGGAACCCTGTTTAGAGTCATCAAATTTTTTTAACAATATTCAACCTCATTTTCTTACGTTACTCAAGGTGAATGTAATAGCTGTAGTGATAGTTGCTGTGGAGAGGTGAAGCCTGTCAGCTGGGCCACCTTTGACCCTGTTTGCCGACTCGGGAGTATCAACACTGTAATAATACACAACCACTCACTGATAACTGTTTGTTGCATAAGCCAGCTGCAGCTGTAATATGCATCTATTGTTGATCTTGGACTGATTTGTCGCGTGATATAGACAAAACACATTGTCCATAACTCGGAATTAACTAATTAGGAGGAGGTACAAGCCGGCGATCTAAAGGTCGACCATTTGCTATTTTGATTCGCTACCACTCAGCTATGTAGGCCCCTAAGGCGAATGTATGTTGATAGAACTTCATTTCTTGGCTTCTAAGCTACTCTACCAATCAAACTATATATGTTTATATTACTTTTCCATGACCACGGTACTTCAAATGGGCCACGGGCCACCATTAAATGAGTCATTCAAGCATATGTGGTTTGTTTTAGCTGCCAGAAAGTGGAGTCTTTGGAGCATTGAAATGTACTAAGCCTCATTTGTGAATATCCCCATAATACAATTACGCACTACTAGTAAAAAAAATATTTAATATTGTTTGGCGGTTTCTTCAATCCGCATTATTTTCCAGCGTTGCACAGCCATCTCAAGTCATGTAAGGGCCCCTGATTGCTAAGCGTATTGCGGGAGGGAGGGAGCACTCGGACATTTTTATTTCGTTTGACATTTTTAGTCTCCATTCAAAATCTGTATGTGTTCGTAATTCGACAAATGTTGATACCAAACATAAATTTTTTTGAGGATAAGCTACATCAATTCCTTCGCCTAATGCGCAGGATCTTCGATGTTGAGTCCATAAACAAATATAACGAGGCGGTCCGCAATTCGAAAAACCAGGAGGATGTAAAAATTAGGAATAGGGTAATACGCAACAGCAGTCGGTCTTTCTGGACGCTGGCCAAGCAGATTAGAAGGAACTGCTCGCAGAGTAGCCTTCTAACTGATTTAAAGGCTAATGCATTTGTATTTTATTTTTAACCAAAGCGACACAAAAGTGTATATGTCAAGTCATATATAGTATAAATTATTAGGTAAAACATAAAAAAACAGCAATTCGGCATTGAGTAAAATGAATTTACTATAAAGTTCTATTTTTCTAATGTAAATAGGTGGTTTATTAA